TCAGTGTATTTCTGAAATTTCTGCACATCAGTTTTGTAACCACAAGAAATAACTTGCAAGATGACATGAAATCGTTTTATTAATTCCTCATCAACCCCCGTTATTGAAGCAGAAATTTCAGAGTGAAAAAAACCGCCGAACTGTATTGCCGTCGTTAGAGCTCCCACAACTTTGCTGCGTCCAATTGTCCTGAAGCCCTCATCACCATTTGTGTAGCGTAGGCTAGTTCTTCAATGCTATGCTCTGATCGAACATTCTGAAGCAAGTTAGGTAGACTCGCTTCTTAATAACGGTCATTTTACATACTACAGGTATCGCTACAACTATTCCGAAGGTTAAAAATTCCTTAAAAGAATTATTATTTTTTCAACTTTGGCCGTGACTCGTTTTTTGGACTGCAGTTAGGACATTTCGTTTTCAAGACACCTTTGGTTCCACAACCGTAACAAAAGAGAGTCTTTGGTTGAAGACAGTAACGATACGTATGACCAGGTATTAAGCAATTCTAACATTTTGACGACGACATGGTGGCAATATTTATTTTAGAATGTGCACGAGGAACATGGGATGTGGAAGGAAATTCGGAGAATGATAGACTCAAATCTGGCGCCAACGATCCCGATTGGGTGAGTGGGGGCTTATATATTTCTGTCCACGTACGGGTATGTGCCTCTTCTAATTGTTTACACAATTAAGGAAGTTCCAAAAGTGTCTTAGACTCATGTAAAGCCAACCGAGATGTATAAATGAAAATAACCGAGTTTTCGAAACACCTCGCGCCTCTCGTGACATGTCTAATTTTTCCAGAAATTAATTTACCGATTCATTCTTGGAACGTGAAAATTTAAGTTCCCATCTGTAAGGTGCTTCATGATGGAATACACAAGGGATAGGAGAAGGAGGAAATGTTAAAGCGGTTGGTGTAGAAGGAATTTTTGTCGTTAGCAATGGCAAAATTTTCAAAGCAAGATCACCCTCTAAATCCGAAAGTTTAAGCTCTATTTTTTTCTTTTAAGCTACTTGAGTTTTACCGTCACATTCTAATCTCTTTATCCGTCCTGGCAAATGTAACAAACGTGAAGAAATTCTTTTATAACTAGAATCAGAAGTAGTTCCACTGAACTGGTCAATAATTTCTTTATTGTCTTTTAGAGACTCTTTAATTTCTTCTGTGTCAACCTCGAATTAATAAGGATGCTGTTCAGGCATCTGACTAAAACTTTGGTTAGAATCTTCTTGATGCAACGCCCCTCTTAATGATTTTCTTTTAGGATCTACATCAGCTTCAATTTCCCTGATTAATAATTCATAAGAGAGCTCTTTCGATTTAAGATAATTCGACTCCATCTTGGACTTAGAGAATGAGATTACTTCTAAATAAAATGTGATTCAGTATTTAAGATAACCCAGTTACTAATTTTAAACGTTAAGTATAATTGAAAGCAAACTATAGTGGTAACTCCATGGATATCGAATAATAATGTCATATATTTGTAAATTAAGTCCACAAGTCATTTGTACATTAATTGAAAATGTTCTTTTTCTGTTGCGAAATAGTTCTGCATGAAGTCCTCCAGTGTTAGTAATAGAAATATGAATACAGTTGACGCAACCTGTGACATTGGGAAAATTTGCTATTCTACCAAACTGCCTGTGAATTTCTTTTAGATTTTCTTCTGGGAATTTTATATAATTTCGACTTTGTGCTGCAATTAGTCGAGTAGTTTTTGTAATTACACGACTGTCCGTGGCCTAATTGTATCTTCTTACGTCTCCACAGACTATCTACAAATAATTATAATAGATATAACTGTAAATGGTTTATCTATACATTGTCATCCACAGGATTTGCAAAAAATATAATTAAAATACCTGAAAACTGCCAGTTACGTAAAAACGCAATGGTAAAAGTAAACCGATTAAAGAACAGGTAACCCTCTACTGGTAATTGGTTCCGGATCTACTACCATCTGTAATAAATTATCACGAACTACTTCTTTTCTAAACCGAAAGCGTTTTTTAAATTCAACGTTATTGAATTTTTTCATAGGGTTTCCATATCTCTGATATATCTGTAATAATTAACATTATTATTTTCTTCTCCAGTGTATATTAATTAATTAATTACCGACGTGGTATACGTATATCTAGATAAAAAATATCTCGGTTTGCGTTATACAGCATGTTTAGATTACTATCCATTATTGGAACAATCTCAAAATCAAAATAAAAATAAAGTTAGTCGCTTTCTGGAGAAATGCTGGAGATGCTACTGGCAATCTGCGGCGATTCTCCGGCGCTTCGCCAAAAGTTTCACTAATGCGCATGCTTGACTTAGCTGGCGAACGATTGAGCATTGGAAATCACGTCCTGCGAATGTCGAATCTCTAGTGAGTCGCTGGCGAATGGCGATCGACTATGCATACGGGCATTAGTCGTGTAAATGACAAGAAATTAATATAAATTTTATATACCAGTATGAATTTTATCAAATCAAAACTTGGGTAAATATTCGGCAAAGATAAGCGCAAAAAAGTAAATTAGAATCGTTCAAAATAGTAACTCAGTGTCAGTCAGAACAAAAAAATATTTCCAACTCTTCATAAATTTCCAACGCTACCATAGAAACCAGGTCAATGCCAATTTTGAGTCCAGTCTATTCTAATCTGCTCGAATCGAGTGAAGCTGGCCCAACGTAAGCTACGCCACATCCTGAGTGTTGCAGCCATGTCGGCTCAAATTCAAAATTTTCATTAATGGGGCTGTCTCATAGATTGTGTGATTTCTGGAGTTTACTTATCCGAAATCTTTTCTTTCATTCATTTCCGGCAAGATGTATTTCACCCGTCCTTGATCTTTGGAATCGAGTTCCTCGATACCATCTAGCCATGGAATCAGAGTGCTTGGATAAGTTAGGTTTAAGTCGGTCAACGCATCTAGCGTTTACATATTATCATTGTCCAATGCCCCCGTCTTCCGTTTTATCTTCAATATTCTCCGATAGGACGCCATACTTTAATATACTTTTAGAAACTTGCTGGCAAAACCATTTATCACACGACGACAGTTCGTTGTACAACTGTTTGTTCGCGCTTGATAGCGCTTCCGCGCTTACAATTACTTTGCAACACACCTCCTATCGGTTGCAGACCGTTGTCCTCAACCAAAAGCATCGAATCCAGTTCCCTTGGATCTCGCACTTCTGTATCGGTTACAGGATTCACTCCAATCTTATTTTTGTGCGAGTCCTTTATTGCTGGGTTCTTCCACATCCTGTACTTGGGTTGGACTTCCGATTCGTTGGTAGGTTCGATAGATACCTTCGCCTTTCTATCTTCAGCCCGCTCGTTCTTTGATGTTCCAGTGTCAGGGATAGGTGGATCCTAGAATCAGGCTTTTAAGTGAAGAGTCTTCGTCCTCCTCTCTGATTAAAATTGCCACGTCCTCTTTTTGCTTCAGTAGACGTTATAAGCAATCCTTCGCTTAACTGTTTCTCTCGCTCAGGACCGCTAGCTAACTTCATTAGAAATATTTCTTACAATGTCTGGCAGTTATTGCATTACCATAAAGTCCTACTAGCCCATAATTGGACCACTGCCCATATTTAGACCAACTCCTCTACCTTTGTACATTATTTTTATTAACGTTAACTATTATATACAAATATACAAATTTATTGAAAAAAGTTTAAAAATTTACGTTGTTATAGTTTCTTTGGGTTCATAAGTGCTTTCTCTTACTAAACTCCAAATATAGTCCTCCATCATATTTTCATTATATTCGCCTTGACAACGGCCTTCAAAGTCCATGATATCTTGATGAAAACGTTCTCCTTGTTCTTCTGAGAACGCTCCTATGTTGTTGTTTCCAAATTTATCTAAATGAGCATGGCTGTTGTTTTTTCACACTTCGCTTCCAGTTATGTTCATTGTGTGTTTTTCTTTTATTAATTTTAGTTTGACTGTATGATTGCCAGGTATATATTCTTCAAAGATACGGCAGCCTGTGTAAAATTATATGAGATTGTATAAAAATATATGAGAATATTTTACGTATGAAAAACACCCAAATTTATAATAAATCAACAAAAATTTAAAAAAAACTTTATTATTTAAATATAATGTACTTATAATGTTGCACATTAATCAAATTACATTTAAAAATTTGTTCTTCGCCGACTGATGCCTATTCTTTTTGCGGTAGTCTAGGCTATAGGAAGAATAATATAATAATTAATTGTTATTCTTTTTTCTAACTGAAATACCCTGTGTTGCAAAAAAAGTTATATCGTTTACACTGAAATTCCCTCGCACACATAATTTTGCCAATTCATTTGCTAGCAATAATATTTACCTATCTTTGTCTGTGAGAAGTTGAAGAATTTTGTGATCTCTAACTCATTTCACTAAAAAAACAGCACTTCTTATCTTTTCACCAGATTTTGAGGTTAGAATAACTATTGTTAAGTACATACAGTTGCATATTTTCAGTGTAAAAACACTGTAAAGGGCTATACAATCTAAAAATTTGTAAATTTTGTGTGCAAAAGTATTGTATTGTACGTTACTATTTTCTTATTGTACTTTTAAATTATTTAAACCTAGTAGATGCCGTTACAAATCAGAATGTTTTAATTTCAATAATCGCTTACTTACAATATTTTTGTTGTATTGTTTTTCTGACTTGACAGATACAATAGAAAATGAAGACGTTTTTGGGGTAATAATGAATAGAAAATAGTGTTTTGTGTTTTTATAATTAAAACAGTTATAAAATTGAAAAGCTAAAATTGACAAATTGTCTCTAACAAAGTTTTGTTTTAGTTATATTCCCTCATTCCTTATTCCCTATTCTTAAAGAGGCCCTACACTATCAAGCGGCTTGATCAAATGCTTGAGGCTCCGATTGATGGGCGCTTCAAGCGTACTTCAATCAACACTTCAATCTTTTGATCAAAACTCTCAGTCGAAGCTGAGAAGTGGAGGAGTGTGGAGCGTATAATGGTGTCAAATGTAGATTTGGGCTTCCTGGCCTTAACATTGGTTGCTGCGAAGGGGAGAAACAACAAAAAGAAAAAAAGACGGTGGTCTAAGGACTGGTATAAAATGAGGAACCGCTTCACTCATCAACATCTCCTTAACTTTCTGAGTGGTTCGGAACCAGAGGATTATAGGAACTTTCTACGCATGGACCAAGAAAGTTTCGATAATCTACTCGATTTAGTCCGCCAAGACATCGAGAAGAAGGACACGAAAATGCGTGAGGCGATTCCTGCAAGTCAGAGATTGTCTGTCACGTTGAGGTACCTAGCATCTGGCATGGATTTAGAAGACCTGGAATTCAGGTGTGCCATTGCTCCGCAGACTCTGGAACTCATCATAATGGAAACTTGCTCTGCAATTATCAGGGCATTGAAGGAAAACATCCAGGTAAGAAATTATTTCCCCAGTAAATCTCTATATTTTAAGAATGGAAAAAATTTACAAATAATTACACTTTACAAATAATACAGATATCGCACAGGTAATGTACATTATTGCTGAACTGAAAAGATTAGGGCACAAGTTCACATTGAGGCAAATGAGGAGAAGAACGTAGCAGCATTATCTTCATCAGACGTTTCGTGGTGTTGCTCTGGGTATGAAGGGCTTTCACTTGGATGCGAAATGTACAGCGTCTGCCCTGGGTTGGAGTACCTTTGCCAACTATTCATTGAAGAAGACGACGATGAAGGTGGCGAGGGTGACCAACGAGGAGGGTGGGTTTGAAAACGCACTCCCTCCCTTGTCAAGTTGCCCATTTCTGCTTCAAAAAGCGTGTCATTTATGATTTTTTTCGGCGAAGCGTCGTTGGTCTGGAGTTAACTTTTTTAATTTCATAGCCCATCCCCTAGCCAGAATATCTTATTCAGTCTCAGGTCGCTTGAAATATTCAGTCGCTAGTCACACTAATTGATCAGTGCTATCAGGGCCACCTTTCCTTTTTTTACCCGTCTTTACAGGGATGGCTGGTTTGGGAGTTGGGGGTGTAACTACGTCAGAAGGAGACCCTACACTTTCGAAACTGAGTTGTGATTGCGAGTCTTCATCCGGAGTCGGTTGCTGTAACAAAAAATAAAATACAGTGAACTACAAGCCTAAATTACACCATGCATTACAGAGCCGCACGGAATTTTCCCGGTCGGTTTTTCTGTCGGACGGCAGCCGAGGGTTTGAAAAAACCGTGCGGCTCCCCGGCATGGTGTAATTTAGGCACAACAGCAATTTAATAATTAAATTCCTATTTACAGTCAGTGTTAATTCTTCATGTAAGGGTTATAATGCAAGTTTCGTTTTTTGTTTCTCTTCTAGGTTCCAAAATCGCAGGATGGATGGAAACGGGTTGCTCAGGAATTCGAAGAACAGTGGAATTTCCCCAACTGCGTGGGGAGCGTTGATGGTAAACACGTATCAATCCAAAAACCTCGCCATTCTGGGTCCTACTATTACAATTACAAAGGTTCTTTCAGCATTGTGCTTATGGCAGTTGTTGATGCAAATTATAAATTTCTGATGGTTGATGTGGGAGCAAATGGCCGAGTGTCAGATGGTGGTGTGTTGAAGAACACATTATTTTGGCGCAAGTTGTCTCAGAACCAGCTTGACATGCCTGATCCTCGTGAGTTATCATACACTCCTAATGAAAAATTTCCGTACGTCTTCATTGGAGATGAAGCATTCCAATTTCTCCCTCAATTCATGAAGCCCTACAACAGAGCTGTTTTGACGAACGAGAAAAGGATTTTCAACTATAGACTCTCCCGAGCCAGAAGAGTTGTTGAAAATGCATTTGGTATAATAACGAAGAGATTCAAAATATTTCAAAATGCCATTAAATTAGAACCACCGAAAGCTGTGAAAATTGTAATGGCATGTTGCCATTTGCACAACTACTTGTGCTCAAAGAACAGAGCCAAGTATTTGCAACCTGAGGATATTGACAGAGACGATATTGTGACTGGTGCTGTGGAAACTGGGTCATGGAGGCAAGACATTCAAGAAATGGCACAACTTCAAAGAACCAAAAGCAATTCTACAGTAGAGGCAAAAAGAATAAGGGATGACTTCTGCAAATTTTTCAACACGTCTGGGTCAGTTCCATGGCAAAACAATTGCCTTGTGTAACATTACTCGTGATATACAATAATTATAAATACTGTAAAAGAAATAAAATAAAATGAAATAAAATTATTACCTCAGAAGTTTCGGTTTGTGCGATTTCCAACTGGTCTTTTATGAAGTGCATATCATTGTAATACCAAAGCGAAGGTTCAGGGATATCGTCTGTAGACGTCCCTGACACTTTTTTACCCTCGATGGCCTTGAACTCCCTGTTGAAGTTTGTTCTGAGAACATTAATTTTTTGTTTCAATTGTATCACACTGAAATCGGGTTTTATCTTTTTCAATGCCCCCACGATTTTTTCTAGCGCCGCACTTTTTTTATTTCTATTGAAATAATCCTTGCTCTTCACTTTCCACAATTCCGGACAATCGCGATATAATTCGATCAACAAACTGATGAATTCCCGCTCCGAGTTTTCGCGAACCTCGCTTTCCGAAGTGGACGCCATGCCTTCCACCGCTTGACTGACGCAATGCTTGATGGAAATTGCCCTAGACTATCAAGCGGCTTGACCATCCGCTTGAGTCATTCAAACTTTTTATCAATCACCGTCAATGCTTGCTTCAAGCTTCAAACGGGTTTCTAAACTATCAATCACGCTTGATACAATCAATTTGCTCAAGCATTTGATCAATCCGCTTGATAGTCTAGGGCCTACTTTAGAAGTACCTGCCCCTCACTATTAAAACCAGGTAAAGAGGTATCAGTTGTCGATCAGTCCTTCAGTCCTACCATATCCGTTGACAGAATACTTTCACATTATTTTGCCAGTTGGTGTATTGTGTTTTTTGAGTAATATAGTTTTACAACGGATAAAAATAGGGAACGGAATCTGGTGAGTGGATTTACTACATATTTCATATAGGTTAGTTAATTTATCTCGTACGTATTTGAGAGCTCGTCACAACCAACATACGTTTTACATTTCATAGATTTTCCAGTTAATTAATTCTATCTAATTGAAGACTCTGTATTAACATTTGCAAATTATTTTGTCTATTTACTTCTGCCGCTTGACTTAATCCATTAAAGCCCACATTAATTTTTTCCAAAAATATACATAATGCCCCTTAATAGGTACTGTTGCTATACTTACCCAAAATTGCGAAATGAATTTTTAAAGTTAACAAAAAATACTGTCATATAAATAGGACGCTGGTCATTCATATAATAAAAATACGAGAGGAAGCTAGAACATTTATATTTAAATATACATAAACTACCTACATTAGTTAAGCTTTAACATGAAGTTTGGGGAAACAACTATTACACAAAGTTAGATTACATTTAATACAAAATGTTCTCCACTATAATTCATCATCTGGCAACGTCTTTGTTTGTCTTTTTTCCATAAAAACTGCCCTTTGCCATCATATATTACATCATTAGTAATGGAACGCAAATATGCACGAGAAAATACATTGATTCCAAAAATATTTATTATATTTATCATAACAATTAATAGTTATTGATTTTTTAAAAGAATCAGTTTCGTTAGAGACCTTCTAACTCGATAAGTTTTTTTATTTAATTTTTTTACTGTTTCATGGTACCTAATCGTAATGGTAAAATATTTTTTCAAAATTAACTTAATTAAAATAATAGCATGTCCTGTAAGGGGTTCTTCATCAAAAATGTTCACCAAAATCATTATATACAAGGTACATTTGATAAAGTATTTTTAATTAGAACTGGCAACAACTGATTTATTTTTTTATTAAATAGCTATGCCAGTAGTTTTATTAAAAAATCGAAAATAATGTTCACCTGCCTTACAAATACTGATTACAAACAGGGATGGTCTTGTTTATTGCTTATATTCCTTTCTCATCAAAAGGATGGACTATGAAACTTTACATTCAATTATACTTAAATGTTTTAAACACGTTAAGGTACTTTGTAGTTGACTCACAACAAATCCAACGATGTATGAAACTACATCTTGGACATAATCTGTTAAATTCCAAACAGCAGAATTTAAATAATTTTCTTTAGAAATTTGCTCTTTAACATTATTTTCAAAGTTTCTATTTTCGAGGGAATTCTGCAAAACGATGTTATCGTTGTTTTTTGTCAGTGGTAATATTTTAAAAGTAGCACCAAAAAAGATGATCCTGTGATATTAAGGTGATAAAGAAGAGTTAAGTACTTCTTTTTGATCCGTGTCAAGGTTAAAAAGAGGATTCCTACATATTATATTTTTTTACTAATAAGTGAGGTTATGTCCATACATTTTTTACATAAATTAACAACAAATTACTGCCTTACATATTTTTAATTAAACATTACTTACAATAAATATAAATGTTCTTCTACAAATTCCCTACCTACTAAACCGGGGAGGGTTTTACCCTTCCCTTGGTCAGGTCAGTTCTTAGAGTCACAAATAAACTTTATTGTACGTAAAACCGTACACTACTGTCTTCTGCAAAAGAAATGATACTCGAAACAAAACATTTCACAATACACATAAATATGTCAATAAAAATGCTAATGTCTAATTTCTAGAAGCATTTATTGTACGATACTAGATTTGCCCTCATTTCCAAATATACCTATCACTAACATTTACAGCATTATTATCTACAACAGTTGTAGGTTCCTGTGTATATAATATGTTGTTAATATGTCTGCCAAAAAATAGAAGTAGGTAGATATATTGTTACTTATATTTTAAATTTAAAAACATACTTTCTCGAGTTAATACATTTTTTAGTTCTTTTCCAAACTTCTTTCTTAATACGAGCCAATAGATGGCTCTGTCATCCACTGTAAATGAATAAAATAATGTAAAAGTAAAATTAAAACATGAATATACAAAGGACGTATAAATTATATTTCACAACAATTTATTTCAGTAGTACCTACCACAAAACATACAATACAGTATCTACCTTAATACCTACTTATAAAACTAAACTATATTCTTACCTGTCCAATTCATAATAGAGTTATTGTTCATTATAACGTCCTTATAATTAATGGCTTTTTTGTCAAATAAATGAGGGTAACTTTTTACCAAATGAATAAATAACTCGCCTTCTTCCACAATCAGATATTTGTGATTCTTCATAATTATGATCCATATTTATTGTAATCTAGAAATTTTTAAATTAATGGTACCTACCATAATATGATAATGAAACAAATACAAACTCTTTATAATTTAACTGGTACGAGGAAACTACCACATGAATGCACATGAAACTACAGTAATATTTGTGGCTAGATCGGTCGTGATGTCGTGAAATCTGTACAGTCATTTAATCAAAAGACCTTGACTTGCGAGAACAATTCTCATTATTGGCACTTTTTTGTCAAACGTAGGAATTCATCCTTACTGAAATTTTCCACATTTTACATAAAGTCTTACGTTTTATGAGCATATTGTGTAAGAACCCGTTTAAATCAGATGCTGGTTTTTGTTTACGTGATACGTTATTCGCCATAAGTCTTACAGTCAGCTATTCTATAACCAGCTTTAATAAACTTTCTTTAGACATGCAATAACTGGTAATAAGTGTTGCCTTAGTTCTGTAATGGGCTACTCGTCGTAATATCAGAAGAAACACAGCTGTTGTTGTTTAACACTAATTTATTTTAATATATTACACTAGCTTATATTTTACGTAGATATTCAGGTTACAATGGAGTAGAAACGATGATTTAGTAATGTCGCGTTGATATAGACTAACTGAGTAACAACTTGATTTAGAATGAATTGGTTAGCTTGTTCGACTTAACTCATTGACTGACTGTCTGGCTGACTGTCTCAACTTCTCTCGTCCTCCTGGTTTTAAGCTCTAGCTATTGTTAATATTTGATAAACTTTGATAAGCAGCTTCCTGAAAGTGCTTATTGATTATTATGAATGTACAATAATTAATGTGTTTACAGTCTGAGTACATAGGAGAAGAGGATGTTTGCGGAACTATTCTAATTTAAGTAAATAATCATTAGGACTTACAGATAGTATACAAATAATATGTTTGTGCGGACGTGACCTAATGTAACTGTTTAAGATAGGATTTTATCTAACATTATACTAATTATTACGTGTTTTTCCTTATTCTGAAATACAATAATAAAATAAAATATGACTTATAATTCTAAATTAATAGTAAATGTTTTATATTTCTATATATAATTAAAATACATTACAGTTCGGCTACATTTTATGTTCATTGCTGTTTAGGAGTATGGACACACATACTGAAGAAGTATAGGGGAGATGCGCTATTAAAAGAAATGGATGGATGTTCATGTAGAAACATAACTAACTTTAGTTCACTAGAAAACATTGCTTTTGTGTGCCTTACAGCTTTTTCATCATTAATATTGCAATAAGAATAGGCCTTCGTGTCTGGTGTTGACAAGGCTGTTTTGCTTTGACCCTGTCGTCACTGCAACCAAGCCATGTGTATTGGGAAATCCAAATCTCTTTGAATTTGTGAGGATAAGTCATGTCTTTTGCTTTTATGAAGATTCATAATCAGTATACTCATCTTCATAATTACTGTCTTCAATTTCGTTGGCGATTTTGGGGATACAAAACGTCAAACTATATTTGCATTACACTCTGTTAAAACACTTTTAGTAAATTATATCTTCTCACATTGCTAAATTACAAATTTCTATTGGATTCAATATCGTATCATTGGTAACTACACTTATACCATTTACTTACTTCCATATTGTGATCTAAAAACAGGAAACAGCAAATTAATGTTTTAGGTTATATAAATTTACATGATATAAATTACAGTTATAGGTTATATAATATCCCAGATTATTAATCTGGGATAATAATGATAATGATGATATGATATATGATTCACATCACAGAAGTTCACATCAGGTGGCCTTAGATCATAGATAATATGTATGGAAGGACTCACCCTTAATCTTTACGAGGTATCAGGGTCTACAGAGGGGATGGCGCAAGAGTAAAGAAAACCTACATGCTTTCGGTCCACACAACTAGATCATTTTTTACCAAGAATATTGGCGCGTATATTCTTTAAAATTGATTTTTAATATTTTTTTAGTCTATTAATTAATACGTGGTTATGTGTCAAATTTGGAATGTTTTACAGACGTACTTTTCACATTGAAATGTACTAGATCTGGTACAATGGTACCAGCATGGCCGAAACTAACTGATGCTAATGTTGAAGGAATTTCTCAACCAGGCTTGTTACTAAACATTTTTAATTTGTACCAACTGTTAGACGAAAAATGTATTAGAAATAAAGAAAGTGTACTGCAGATCAAGGTTACTGAAAATCTTTTAATAACGTTGACTGCAGACCAAATTATTTCACGTTACCCAATAAATCGATAAAATGTCACTAAATTTCGATGTCCGCGAATATTATAGATTCAAATTTACGTGCAATCAGTTTGAAATTGGTATGATCGATATCTAGATCAGTCGAGACAAAATATCAAATATCCCATCCTTTCTTTGTTTTACCTATTAATTTCCTAGACATGAGTAAAATTAACAGTCTGTCCCATTGTTCGACAGGTTTGCCGAGCGATTTTAAAGCTCGTCAATGACTATTAAAAACATTGAGAAACCTTATTTCGCTTACCTACCCAATCATATTTTACAACGAGTAGTATATCAATATCTACTGAAGCCTTTAAATGTGTTTGTATTATTCCCTGTTTATCTTCGAACCTTTCCTCTAGCATTGCCCAAGCCATACTATAATTTTCCTCCGAAACTTTTTCCGCTTCGCCCTTTAAATATTCCAATAACCTATAAAATTTCTGGACTTTATCAAACTTTGGGTTTTTGTCTACTAACGATATAAATGTGTTTTTGAATTTATACCACCTATCGTATTCTGCACTAAATTCCGGCAAATTGTTCGGTGAAGAAAGGTTGGAGACTAGATGGGTTCAGTACCACGGCACTAGGTCTCCTTCTCTTCGTCACCTCGTCCAATATACGTCACATATTAAAAACTACTTGCTAAACAATATTAACGTTGTAGGTCGCTACTTACTTAATAATTAATAACGATAAGCTGCGCTGGACTCTTTCCTAGCCGCAGTCAATGTTTATATATTCTGTAGTACCAATTAGGTTACGAATCCAGTACAACATAAAACCACTGAAATGGTTGGTTGTATGAAATACAAGAAAAATACTCTACATATGATGAAATAAAACAAATTAATTTTAATTTTGCAACATTAAAAATATTTATTTATTACCAAACTAACAATTCGGTCGCTATTGATGGCTACTCAATTCACCACCGCCGCCAAAGCGGAGCACACTCACACCGAAGTCCCTCGGTTTTCACCAACACTTTTCTTTGTCTAATTTTCACTTTCCCGGTTCACTCACGTACACCGTAACCGAAACAAGGGTACACACCGTCCGTCTAAGCACACTGAATGTGGCGACCTCACTAGATCAAAACTTAAAGCTAAAGAGTACAATTTGGTTGCCTAACTAAAAGGAGTAAGAGCAAGGTGCCCGTTACAATGTGTATATAAAAGTTGTAATCCCCAATTCTCTGTTTGATTTCTTCTATAACTGCTGTATACAAGGAACCCACATCATCTCTACTCAACGTTCTTTCACTGGGCACATTAACTTTACAATATTTTTGAAGAAACGAACTAAGATATTGGTTATCCAATTTTGATGGAACAATTGACGCAACCATAGCACGTTAAATATAATTTAGGTTTGTTCCAACAGCTTCTTTCTGATGCGTACACGGTTGCGTTAGTGAACAACCGTGTGCGCATGCCTGCTTCATGAAGTAGTACGTGAACGTGTCAGAAACGGGAGCTCTGTTGGAACGCGTTCTAGTTGATATTCAAGGCTCTGAAGAAATCCTTCATTTCTGTGGTTTCTTCAAAGAACAACGAAGGATTTGTTTTGGTAACGTTCTGCTCTGTGGTGTTAACCTAAAACCTACCTACCACCGTCTTCTTGCGTTTTGCATGTGGTTTTGCCAAAAAATATTATACTACAATCTATTTGGATTTGCCACATGAATTGTTGTCATTTCTGTGGCGACAAACATCTAAAAAATGATAGGTAAGTAATTATTTGAAAATGTTTGAACACTCGGAAGCAAGCGCCTTTAAATTTTGTAGATTTTACAAACGAACTCTCGGAATTTATTATAAGAAACACCTGACAACTTGAGCTTGCGACCAAATCCTTCATGTTCTCAGTCTCAGTCGTCATCGTCAGTCGGGATTGTCACAGCAGAGCCCTTCCAATCAGAAACCGAAAAGGACATAAAGTGGACTACAAAAAACAAAATTGTTCCTGGATTTGTACAGTGAAAAAAAGGCAAAGGTTGGTACGTTACAAACGAAAACAGTAAAAGCAATGTGGCAACAAATTGCTCAAAAGCTGCAAGAATTGTTAGGTATTAGAACTATTGCAAGTCAGTGTGAAAATCGTTGGCGAGTTTTAGAACGCGGATATAAAAAGTTTGTGGATAATCAGACATCCACTGGCAGAGGATGAAAATTTTTTGAGTTTCAGGAAGAAATGGACAATATTGTAGGTAAAAAGAAAAATGTTTTCCCTGAAGTGTTACTAGAAAGTACCACTATCGACTTGCCTCCTTTAAGTGAACAAGCTAATTTTGAAGAAGAGAATGAAAACTTTTTAAATGTAGCTGATGTAGTTATAAAAAGCACACCAACATCATCAAGACCTGGAACAGCAACCAAAAATAGAAGAATCATGAAAAAAAGAGTAACATTATTAGAATGTTTAAACATTGAAAGGAAAAATTACTACGAGAAAAGAATTGAGGTGGAAAAGGAAAAAGTAGAACAGATGAAGATACGGAACGAGTTAATCAAAGATAGAAATGCCATTCTAAAAGAAAAACAATGTAATTGCAACATATGATATGTTGCAGATGTTTATTGTTAGTTTATTTTTGTAATAATATAATGTATAGGTAGATTTTTTCGTTTTAATACAAGGTTTATTTATATTAATGTTTGTTTTTCTTTAAAATGTATGCACTGTTTTTTTCATTAAAAGTTTTCTTTATTTTATATGTATGTAGTTTAATTTTTAAATTGATCAAGTCTAGGTAAGTAAAAATAGGTTTTTTGTATAATTTTTTATTACGCCATTATCAACAGTACACGTAAAATTTGCACAGTTCGATGTTTCTTTTTGTTTTTTCTTAATAAGTTTTTCACCAGTATCTAAACTCTTTAATTATTAATGTTTGTACCATCAATGATCAGTTACCTATAGTTTCTTTAAACTGTGATGGAAAACCTATTAGTTTTACACTGGCTTTTTAAAAACCAAAAGAGAAACATTTACTTACCAATTACAAAAAATTTATATTATTTAACACTACATTGGTAACATTTCAACAATCATGCGTCTAATATCTTGAGCATTTCTATCGTCTTCATCATTTATATTGTCACCAACCTCATCTTCATTTACTTGATACACAGGCACGAGTGCAGGGATGTCTTCTTGCCAATCAATTCCATCATCTAAAGCAATATTGTGTAAAACACAACTTGCCCTAATCATATGGACTATGAACCGTATATCCCTTATCTTGATGTGGTACAACTGTCTAAATTTTTGTTTTAACATGCCACAGCAGTGTTCTATGACGTATCTATTTCTGCAAAGTTTTATGTTATAATTTAACTGTCTATCATTTAATTGACCCCTATCTCTAAAAGGTGTTAAAACATGTGTTGTCAAAGGGTACCCACTATCTGCTAATATAAAATAATTTCCACATTTCTCTTCCATGGTTCGATAGAAGGAAGGGTTCCTAAAAACTCTACTGTCATGGACAGAGCCCGGATATCCCACGAATAGATCTATTATTTTTTTCCTATGATCACATACTGCTTGCATCTGAAAAAAGATTATAAGAAATAGGTACATTTATATTTTATAAACGAATTTTTACTTGTATTGAATAATAACTTTTCCTATTTATATACGAGTCATTGTCATCATTAGGTTTATCTATTCTAATATGGGATCCATCGATTGAACCAATCACTCTTGGAAATCCATGTGCTCGAAAATAATCCTCACTTACTGGTTTTTCTTCATCTGTCGGCCATGTAATAATTACTGGCGACATATTGCTCAAACAGAAAATTACTCGACGTATTATTCTGTACAAAGAGCTTATGGTTATGTTAAACCTATCGGCCACATCACGGAAACTAGCTGTTTTGTGACCCATAATGTGATCAGAACCTAAAATTATTAAAATTCATTAGATACGAAGATTAATGTTTATTTAAAAACAACTTACTTGTTCAGTACTCGTAATTTTTCCATACTGTCCCGACTGCGTTTTATAAAATCGATTGGTTTCATATCTTTCTACGATGTGCCTCAAAGCCATACGACTCAAAGAAAGTCACATCATCATAATTTTGGACTGTTTCCTCTGCATGAAAAAAAAAAAATTTTCATTTAGGTAGCAACAATTATAAACCATTAAACTTACCAAAAAAGTTATTATTTTTAGTTCGAGGATTTCCATATATTAGCACTTCATCGTCGTCAGAGGATGATATCTCTGAACCCACGTCACTTTCTAAGTCACTCATTATAAATTTATGAAATCTAAAAATGTTTATTTTACATTAGTAGATACAACTATCTTTTGTAGAATACTTACCTATTTCACGAAAACCAAATATGTGGTTATTTTAATAAAATATTTGACGAAAACAAACACAAACAGCTGATTCGATAATTAGTGTTCCATTAAAGTTTACAATCCAATGCGCATGTGCTGACAAATAGTTCATGGGTTTGTATGCGGATAGATTTGACAATCCGTCAACCAGTTCATGTACGAGTCCGTGACATTGTTGGAACGAGTAACCAACAGTCTCTACCACTGTCAGTGACTCTGTTGGAACAGTATATTTAAAAGGCGCAAGCGTCTGACATCCTTCTGATAATCAGGGACGTCGTTGGAAAAAACCTTTTATGCTGCTCGTCTGTTTTCTTCTTTCTGTCGCTGTTTTGTATACATTTCAATAAAGAGGATCGAGCGTTATTGTCCCCAGATTTAAACTTTTCTAATTTGGTTACCTGAGCAGAGGTTTTTGCATGAAGAAAATTCCAAATAAATCAGATTTGGAATTTTCTTTCACATAGTATCTGAAAATAAAATAAAAACCGAGATGGTAAATATAGTTTTACTTATAAAAACAACTTTATTTTAAATTAGTTAAAAGTTAATTATTTAGGATGTGAGAGTAGGAAACCTTTAACACATTAAGGAAATTTGTTATAATTTGTTTATTTTAAAAATAATCAATAAAATATAAAGAAAAACAATTTTTCTTACTGTCGGCACACACGTTTAATTTTATTTTATTGCATTTTCTGACTGTGTTGAGCTAAATATATTGAATATTCATCGTGTGATCTCCCAATGGAACTAGATAGTAAAACTCAAGCACATGACATATGTTGTATTGACAGTTTATTAATTTTGAGATATATAATTCATTCCCGTGTAAAAATATACAGAATAAAGTGATAGTTTCATGTTAACTAGTGGTTTAAAAACAGAATTAACACTTACTATTCTAGAGCAAACAGGGCAATAGACCTTCTTCATATCAATATACATTTCTTTGTATGGTTTAATTCAAACGGAAATACAGTTAAATTTAGACATTTTCACTTTTTCTCAAATCTATAAATCAAATATGCACTTCAAAATTATAATTAAAATTAAATGAAATAGGAATAACTTTAAATAAATAGGTTTGGGAATATCCTATTATAGTAATTAAGGGAATTTTTTGATCGTAAAGTAATAAAGCAATAAAATAAAAGTCCGAGGTAAACTTAAAGCTTTCCAGGTAATAACCCAACAGCCTATAACTTCTAAGAAAATTATATTATTGAATGTAATGTAATTAATTAGGTAATTTCATAATTGATTATGCACCTTATGCAGTTTTTACAAGAAATATGTAAATATTTATAACCTGAGACCGGGGCGTTTAATTTTTGGAATTTCGCTTTAAAATTCAAGATTCTTATTATTCTTTGTATTAAAAACACATAATTTTTTTCAAATTTGTATTTTTTCCCAACAAAAAAAATCATGTCAAATTCAAATGGACACTAGGACAATATCGAAAAAAAATATTTCAAATGAAATTGTTTCATGGGACACATCCCAGTAAAAGGAATCATTTGTTCATCCGCAGCAACCTCATTGTATCTCGGAAGTGAAAAGCAACCTTTTCTAATTCTTTCAATTAAAGGACGAATCTAAAAAAATTGGTCAACCTTCCTTTCATATTGAGGTACATCAGCATCGATAACAACTTTCAAATTGCTCCTAATTAAAAAATATCTATCACGCGAGTTATGTAGCTAACCGAAACTCATGTATATTTTATTTTTAAGACCTATTCATATTTATTTCATAATAGAGTATATTATGCATTTATTAGAACACTTATCAAAGGGACCCTTGCCCTCGAAACTGTAAACATTATAGAAGCCGACAAAGGAGCTTATTTTTGNGGAAATACAGTTAAATTTAGACATTTTCACTTTTTCTCAAATCTATAAATCAAATATGCACTTCAAAATTATAATTAAAATTAAATGAAATAGGAATAACTTTAAATAAATAGGTTTGGGAATATCCTATTATAGTAATTAAGGGAATTTTTTGATCGTAAAGTAATAAAGCAATAAAATAAAAGTCCGAGGTAAACTTAAAGCTTTCCAGGTAATAACCCAACAGCCTATAACTTCTAAGAAAATTATATTATTGAAATGTAATTAGTAGTAATATCTCTCTATAACTGTTCGTTAAAAATATCTCTCCTCATATACTTGTAGGAAATTGAACGCCCTACAAAAAAGGTATCTTACAATTTTTTCGTAAACCTCACCGTTTAAAAGATATTAAAGGTTGAAGTTTGATTATTTTAAGACAAATTTTTGTTTTGCTTATGTATTTTATAACTCGTTAACAAAAAATCATTATGAAATACGCAATTCATAGTTTTGTAGGAAATTAACTGCTCTAAAAAAATGGTCTTTTATGATTAGTCGATTAAATAAAGCGTTTAAAAGATATTCATCGTCAAACTTCAATGCACGCCAATTTTAACAGTTTTTGATTAATAATAATTCGGAAAATTTAAATTTAGTTTATGAGTTAGGGAAATTTATACAAATTTGAGTTTCTATGAACAGAGAAATGTTTAATCTATTTTATCTTCATTTAAATTTTCCTGTTCAATGAATTCATCACAGTCATCTAATTCACAATCAGTCAACTCTAAATCAGACATTTCCAAACATATTCTAGTAGTTTATCATCCTCCTCGCCAGGACGTAAATGTGTTTTGTTGCCAAATACAGCTAAAACAATATTATATTTTTTGTATGCTTAACGACCTGACGTCCATTTAAATGGACGTAGTCTTTTAATGAAAAATCAAAAAGAAAAAGGCAAGATAGAACACTAACACTATGTGTGTACATTAACTATACTCTACGCTACTAATTTAAACAAAAATCTGCATTCAATCTTTAATAGAATTAGCTTCTTACCATCAATTCGAATTCCGAGACAATCAGCCACACTAACGTCAGTTGTTTGCACTCATAAATGAGGTTAGTTGTTCTCCGAATAAGACGCTACGCTGTTGTCACCATATATTTATAAAACCTATATTGAGCCTTTGCATAAAAGACAGTAGGTAAATATCGTGACAATCAGAGAGAGAGAAAAACATATAAGTTTGAACTGCTTCTTCAAGTCCCCCGCAACTTTTGCGCATGCCTGAACCGCAACTTTTCCGCGGCAGTTATTTAATTTCATAATTTTTGAAAACATTCTGCTTAGGTGGTCATAAAATAATTTTTGTAGTATAATTTCACAATTTGATTAAATTCAGTTACCATCTCATAATTTACTCATAATCTTATTTATAAGTTTAACATTTTACATGAGTTTGAAATAAAGTTCCCTTAGTATTAATTTAGATTATTTCTACATAATAAAACTGCAAATAATTTAAGATGAAGAATTATGCTATAAAAGTTTGATGCATTATTTTTTAACATAAGTTNTTTGATTAACACATTTTTTGACCCTAATAATGATGCTTTAAACAGAACAAGAGCTATCTATATTAGGTAAATTAATTGGCAGAACTAAGATGCTAATCGGATCGCGACTAGAAATATCTAATTGGGAACAAATTAAAACAGTCCTTATTAGTAATTTTGGTGATCAACGCGATGTAAGATGCTTAGAACAAGATTTGTTACAATTAAAAATAAATAAAGGCGAATCATTGCATAGTTTTGGAATAAGATGTCAGGAAATTAGGAGTCTTTTAATGGCTAAATTAATACAGTCAAACCAATCCGCAGACGAGAAAATTTACTTGCTAGACATTACGAACGACTAACCTTAGACACTTATGTTAGAAATTTGCCTAACACCTTGCAAATGAAGATTAGGATCCAAAAATTATCTAGTTTAGAGGACGCGATAAAAACGGTAGCTGAGGACGAAAATTTCTCATATTATACCCGTACTATCTCTACCCCCACACATAATTTTTATTCATCTAAACCAATGGCGAAACAGACGCCTCCGCCAACTTTCGTGACACCTACGATGCCATATGAATCGCAAAATATAAGACCGCAAAACATATCAATACCACATATCTTTCAAAATTCCCGACCTCAATTTGCACCCCAAAATAAATTTTCTTCACAAAACAATCGACCAAATCCTTTTCAACAAAGAAACCAATTTCCGCAAAACAAACAAAATTTTAATAGATTTACAAATGTTTGGCAACCCAACAAAAATACACAACTACCTAAACCTACCCCCAAGGGCGGCATAAGTAAGAATTCAACCTTGAACCCAAATCAAAATAAGCAAAATATGCAAAATTTTAGACAAAATAATCAGCAACAAAGATTCCATTTTGAAGAACTATTTCAAGTAGACCAAGAACAAACAAACGAAAACGATCACCCTGAGACTTTTACATACAACTACGACGAACCTTGTACATCGCAAACATCTAACCCAAGTCGAAGAAGATTACGATTTCGCAAATCTATACTCGGACGAACAATGTTTTGAAAACGATTCATCTCAAAATTTTTCGACAACAGCCCACCTACATCACAAAACATAGTAGAATTTAATTCCATATCAACCCCCTGTTCACTACCCTATATAAAAATTCAAAACCCGCCTATGCTTTTATTAATTGACACCGGTTGCTCGAAATCCATAATTCGACCTAGTATAATAGAGAAACATTATCCCGACTGCATCTACCACGACAAAATTCAAATTAAAACTTGCACAGGAAAAGCTAACATTCGTTTTAAAGCCACAATCCCAAGTTTCAAGGAATTTCACTCATCTCTCCCTATGGACATTCTTTTATATGACTTCCACGATTTCTTTGATGGTCTGATAGGCTTCGAAGACCTCCAAAAATTTGATCTCTCCATTTGTCTCTCTCGAAAAATATTATTAAATCCAAAATTTTCTATACCCATATATTTCCGTCAACCT